GTGGTAATTTGGTGCAGTGCAGTCATGACCTCAGTTCATCTACAGTCTAATAGAAAGAGGCGTTTTGTTTTTATTTCTAAAAGCAGTGTTGCCACCTTCTCGTATCGCCCAAAGCCGCTCTTAAGGCTCGTGCTGCGGCGTCCTCAGACGAGGTTTAGAGTCTCAGCTCGTCCAACTTGGAGGTTTGTGGTTGAGCAGGATGTGAGTGTACATCAGATAATGTGTGCACGTTTGCCGCCGATATTCTCTGACGCTTCCCCTTTGCTCCGCTTTAGTGAGGACGGTCCTGCAGACACACAGGCGGTGCAGAGACGTGAGCGGTGTGAAAGGCAGGCAGAGGTTGATTACAGATTGCAGTTTAGTCTCCAGTCTGAAAATGAAAAGAGCCGGACGTGATGGTTTGAGTTTTGATGCTGCAAAGGTCTTTTTATTTTGTGTTTAATCTAAACTTGTTAAGTTCAGAATAACATTTTTAAAACCACAGGTTTTGTTTCCTAATATGAAAAATGTGAATTAAAAGCAAAGTTAGCTGAAGACCACTGTCACCGCGCCGCGGTCCGATCTGGAGGTGAAGCTGGAAATAATAATGGATGATGTTTAATCAGGTTAGTAATCAAGATTAAAACTGCAAGGATGTGATGGAGAGCTCGGCTGGAGCTGAGCAGCGCCGCGTTCAGTGTTCAGTGCGGTCGCTGCAGCGCCGCGCCGCAGCTCCGTGTTTCTGTCTTCACTCATTTGTTTGATAAAAGTTAACACACTTGTGGTTAAGCAGAGGAAGCACACTCGCACACACTTCACACACTTCCTGTGCTGTAACAGTTAAACAGCTTAAGAGAAGCGACAGAGGCTCCAGGACCTCTCTCTGAGGGACTCCATGTGTTTGTGTGCTCACAGCGAGCTGCCGACAATCAGCCCTCCATAGAAGAGCTTCCTGCAAAATTTCCCATCAGCCCCATCGCCATGGCACACCCCGCAGAAGAAACACGGCGCTGGTCGTCCTGTGCAGAAAGACGTTAGGAGGTGTGTCTGTACGCCGCTGCGGGCACCCGGGTGTTTGTGTGGCGTCTTCCGATTTATTTATTTATTTTTTGTGCAGCAAATCATGGTTGTGGTGGTGGGAATGTTTAGGGGTCAAAGGTCACAGACGGTGTGTTCACATGAGGTTGTATCTGAAGCCTGGCTGTAACTGTCCTTATCAGTAATCTTCACAGAATCGGGTGACTGTGAAACGATCTTCTCTGAACGGCGCTCAGGGACACCACTTCCTGCTCTGATCGCAGCTCGCTTACATTCTGCTCTCTTCTAACCAATCAGACGTGACCTCCAGGACCATCACGGCCCAAAACAGCTGCAGCGAGGAGGCGGCGGACCAGCCGTCGGCTTTTCGGCTCAGATACCTGGGAACCACAGCCAGCTCCAGGGCCAAACTGAGCCAGGACTCTCCGGGTTCCACCTCCTCGCCCTCCTCCACGCCCACGCTGGAGGAGAACAAAGAGAACCTCCCCTCTCCAGCAGAGTGCCAGCCTCCAGCCTCCACCCTGCTCTCTGCTAGACAGGACAGCAAACCTGACAACCACCAGGACCAGACCAGCAGGTACCCCCCGTCCCCCCCACACCAGCTGGGCTTTCCTGTCTTTACTGAACATTTTCCATCAGCCCTGGTTTAAGGTGACTCATTTCTCACACATGTAAAGCAGAGGCGAGGACTCGCAGGAGACGAGCTCTAAAATCGCTTCATTTCACAGTTATTACCACATGAACAAAGACTTCTAGAAGTCTTATAACAGTCTCAGCTAGTCCTTTGTTGTTGTTGGACAATGAAACGCGTGTCAGATGTGTTCAGACGTAGGACAAAGGCACACATGGCCTGAGTGATGAGGGTCACACAGACCATGGCTCAGGTGGGTGTGGGGGGAAGCAGCTGTTAGTGAGGCTGCTGGTGTGGGACTGACCTGAGGCACTGATCAGAGGGCGGCGGGTGAGATGCTCTCACTGAACGTCGGTGAGAGCATCCGTTTCGTTTTTTATTGGTTTCTTTATGATAAAAATGGGAGTTATCAACCTCGACAAACCCTCTGTCAGCCTGCAGGTGTGGACCACGCCCACTCAGGTGATTTCACAGCTCATAGTTGACAGGTGTAATATCAGCAGCACAGAGGAGACTCTAATCCAGACTCCTGTGGCAACACCCACCACCTGTGAGGTCATCACCTGCCCTGCCTCCATGAAGGAAGAAGCTCGAAGACCAGCTGATCCAGGTAAAACACACACACACACACACACACACACACACACACACACACACACACACAGGTGATGGCAGCTACATCGTAGCCACAGCTGCGACGCACTGACAGAGGTTACTTTCCTGGTATGAACGCGTCCTTTGACCGTCAGTCTTTTCTCCAGAAGCCGTTCGACTCGTCCATGTGGGCAGCTGCAAATTTCAGTCGCGCTTGCGAGTGTTAATGCCAGAGCGGGGGCTTGTTTCTGGGTCAGCACCCTCTCGGTCCATGATGGATGTTTTGCATCATCGTGAACATCCTAACCAGTTTCATCCCATCTGAGGGTGACCGTTTCGATGTTCTTCCAGATCTTGGCATTGAAACATCAGAATAACTTGCAGCTGTTCAGAAATGACTCCTAAAGACCTTCCTAACTTGTGTAAATCTGCAGTTGTCCTTCTTAGACCTTCACAATGTTCCCTGGACTTTCTCACTGTTCTGAGTATTGGTCAGTCCCAGAAGTGCCGTCACACAAATCCTTTGTAAGCTGCACCAGCTGTAGTCTGAGCTTTGTCCAGTTAAAATACTTGGGCACCATTCATTGGTCTGACTGTATGTAAATGCTTTGAAAGCTGTATACTGTACAGTCATTTCAGCCTCACGTTTATGCTCCTGGCTGGAAACTTCTGGCACAAATATATTTTCTTCCTGTTATTGTTACATTTACAGTCATGTTTTCTTTCTTTTTTTACCCTTTTATCTTTTCTCCTCATATCTTTATGTAACTCATATCTGACCTGTACACCTGCTGCTCTGATGCTTCGTCTTTTTCTGGTCTCATTTAAAGATGTTTCTTTATCAGCTGATTTGCTGCTCTCTGCCCCGCCCACCTCGTCCTCCTCCCCTCTGGTGGAAAGGCTCCGCCCCGCTCTCACAGGTAAAGGTAATTTTCTGTAAAGTTGTGATGATGATGATGCTGCTTGGATCGCTGTGTAGCGCCACAGAGGCCATAGCTGCCGTGATGTCACCTGCTGATTTCAAGATGCCGCCCTTTCACCATGACGGGGGGCTGATCTTACTGTGAAACCAAAAGCTCATTGACTAATACTTTGTGATTGACAGACCGTTAGCCAATGAGCATGCCCCGGATAATCCTGACAAAACGCACGACTACGATTCTGAAATTAGTTACTGAACCACAAAGTCGTCAATGGTTTTTTCCCAGAACTGTCCGTTGCATCGCCCTCTGCTGGCTGTTAGAAAGAATACAGCGTATTGTACCGACGCCATGCTTGTGCTTCAGGCTGTAAGAACAGATGTTTGTGTGCAGGTTCGGGAGGAGACGAAGAGTCGGTGAGCGTGCAGTGTCTGCAGATCGCCGCCGAGCTAAGGGCGACGGCGAGACGAGCTGTCCATCTTTACCAGAAGGTTTCTTCTTCACACATTGTTATTAGGATGTCAACATTGATGTGAATCGTCACTTTTCTTTGAATCATCATATTTCTTTTTCTTCTTCTTTTGTCGTTTTTCTGAATCGCTGAACGATAATCAAATTTAAAGCGTCACGCAGGCGTTTGTGTTTGTTCGTTAGTGTCCGCCTCACGTTTTCTTTGTTGTTTGTGTTGCAGCTCGGCGCAACGCTCGCTGGCTCGCAGCGACGTCTCCAGGTGTCGTCAGCGATGCTGGAGGCGTTTGACGTAGTTCGCTCTGACATGCAGGAGGTGCTGCGGGAGTCGGGTGGCAGCGTCCCCTGCGGTCAGCTGGAGGACCGCAGGACGGCGTCTCTGCTGGAGACGTACTCTGAGCGGCTGCTGCAGATGGTGGAGGAGAAAATGAAGCGTGTGTGAGCCGATGTTGGATTTGAAATCAGTATTAAACTGTGTGCACCTTGTGTCTGTGTGTGTCTGAGTGTGAATCACTGTCTGTAAATACGTCATGTTTCTTAATAAACGCTGTTTTTACTTTAACTGTGGCCACTGTTTCAATCCGACGGGAATACGAAACTTTATTCATACAGAACCTTTTACAAACAGGTCAGAAATGAACATGAAGGCAAAGGGATGTGAAGATTGATGACATCACATCAAAAACCATGAGAGCGAGGCGGCCGGTGGGGGGGCGATGCAGCCAGGAGACCTCAGTGAAAACCTTAGAATCATTCAGAGTAGGCAGGAAGTGGGCGCTGCCTACCAGAGCGCTCCTGGTGCTGAGGCCAGAGCTCATCAGTTCTCTGGATTCAGCATGGTTGATGTGAGCCCGGGCCACTGCAGCAGGCTCCTCCTAATACCTGAACTTCCGTTCTGCACGTGCAGCCCCAGGCTGCCCTGAGACCAGGTGGGACTGAGTCACAGAGCAGCAGCTGGCTGCAGTGACGTAAAACTTTAAAAGCCTTAGAAAAGGGTGCTGACGTCATATCGAGCGGGACTACAAACACACCGGTAGGGCATGTTTGTAGTTCCTTAAGAGCAGAGCGGGCGGTGATTGGCCGAGAGCCACAGAGACGGGCACGCGCCTCCGCCCCGCCCCCAGCTGTGTGAGAAAAGCCCCAAAAGTTAACGACGACAACAAAACAAACCACAGAAGAAGAGGCGTAAACAACAGCAGGAGTGAGCAACATGGCGGCGGTGAGAGGAGCCGGGGTTTCAGAGCGGGGCTGCCTGGAACTTCAGGCCGCTCTGTGAGCCTCTGCCCGCGGCATGAAGCTCTCCGGGCTGCCGGCATCATGGCCGTTGTGACAGCCAACGCCCGCGGAGTGTCCCCGCGGGGGAGCCGGCCTCCGGCACCGGGAGCCGGCGGGAGATCCGAGGAGTCCTGGAAGGGACACATCATCCGAGAGCTGAAGCACCGAGACCTGAGCCAGCACGCCATGTTCCAGGACCTGATCCGCTTCTGTACGACGACCAAGTACAACTTTTATCCCCTTTAAATCCATCACAGGCGGTCTGAGAGCAGCAGTCACCGGGCCGAACATTTAAAAACCCATTAAGTTAGTGTTCAGAGTTACAGTGAGGTTTTACAGGCTGACGCTGAGAAATTACTGCACGAAGAAAGACACTGATCATTTTTGAGTGAGGTTTGGTTCAGAGAAATCAGGGCTTTGTAGTGGGGAACCAAGAGGTTTTCATCAAAGGGCAGCAGAAGTAAATATGTTTAAACCAGAACTAACGTCCTCGCATTTGCTCTCGTTACTAATCAGCCTGTTTAACCCTGTACTCAGGAAATGTCACAGGAGCTGCTTTACTTAGGGACAAAAAAGATGTTTTTTTTAAAAATAGGGCAGCTCTACACCAAACTCTATGTAGGGAGACGGGATTCCATCTCATCCAGGTAACTTCAGGGCTAACTCTACTCATCGCCATGGTAACATATACTGCGAGCTTGCTCCAGAGCAGCTTCATGCGACTGCTTGTCCCCACTGCCAGCGATGGGATACGTGAATGCAGACAACAGGGAGGGAAAGGTGAGCTTAGCCCCAAACCTCAGACTGCAGTCGGCTCGAAAGAACATTTCATAATCAGCATTTTTAACACTTTCTTGAAACCAGGCTGAGATTCAGGCTTGTTGATCACGACAACTACACTGTGGTTCAGTTGGACTCTCAGTTACGATGTTTTATATATTTATATTTTTCAGTTATAGCAGCTCTGAAACCAAAAATGGAATTTGTGACGGGCAGAAGTTTGATGAGAGTCGTCCAACCTGTCCCACCAGTCAGACATCCAGTATAATCCTGTTCACCCTCCTGTAAAATCAGATTGTTTTTGAATGGAGTCTGGTTCATTTTATATTTTTATTGTGGTGAGTAGATCATTAACCCCTCTGCTCAGTGTTTCGAACCTCGCCGACATCCACCCTCCTTTCATACTTTGCTGACATTCAGGGACAGGAAGTTGTCGGAACTATTAAACCACACGTCGCCTCACTTCCTCTGCGCAGTGAGTCATGTGTGACAGATAACCAGCCTGCTGCTGGTTTATCATCAGGCCGCACACGCAGAATGAAAAAATGTTAAACATGACAGATTTTGAATGGAGTTTGGCTTCAGTCAATGAAAGCTGGGAAACATAATAAAATTAAGTCATAGTAGAGTAAAAATATCTCAGTGAAAACACGTTGTCCTGGTTTTTTGGTCCTAGCTGTCAGTCAGGTGCTCATCAGGTACAAACCTGGAGCACCTGGTTCCTGCCCCGCCTCCTCTGACCCCCCTTTCTGTCTGCAGACACTCAGCTGCTGGAGAAAACCAGTCTGACCAAAGGACTGCTGAGCAGCGCCGCCAGGTAACTCACTGTGTTTGTACATGTTCAGACATCTTTGTGAGCACAGAACATTGGCATGCTACCACACTACAGTCACTGGTCCCACAAGGTTTAAGACATTTTTGAGACTCGCATTGTGGTTGTAGTGTCAGGATCACAGGTCATGGTTAGGCATTCATTTTGAATGTTAGGGTAAGTGGCTGGGATGAGATGAGTGAGGTGTCCTCACTAAGACATGAAAACGAGCGTGTGTGTGCTGAGGCTGTGTTTGTTCTGTGTGTGCAGGCGTCCCCCCGCGGGCGGCGCCCCGCTCTCGTCCCTGCAGCAGCAGAGCATCCAGCTGAAGAAGACCACGGGAGAGGTCAGAGCAAACCTGCCCCCCTTTCAGAGTGATCACATGATCAATTACGGCCAGGGTTAGGGTGACTCAGCCCGCAAAGTCAGCAGTGCTTGCAAAGGTCAGAGGTCATCTGGTGGCCTTCAGGTAGAACGCAGGTTTTTGGGTATTAAGGCGTCGTTTTTCCAACCTGGAAACTGCAGTTCCTCTGACGTCCAGCAGAGGCAGCAGTGAGGTAGTCCCCATAGACGTGTTCACAGCCTCAACTCCAACTGGTTGGTCTCTGTAGCCAACTGCCTCCTTCGTAGCACCTGTACAAGCAGGACTGTAAGAGCCTAAGAAATGTTTATGTTTTGTGTATTTGTCACGGTGGCACAGGTGTTTAGATTTTCCTGCACCTCAGGTGATTGCATGTTATTTACCTGATGCCAGTGTTGCAACAGCGTCGCTGGGTGAGTCTGAGCGTCATTATAGCACATCAGTTGGTACATGCACTATTTGTTTTGATTGAAAGCACAAAGTTTGTTGTTTTGTTTTGTTTTAAAATACAAGTGGGGCTCAGTTTGGATTATTGGAGACGCGTCACAGCACAAAAATATACGTTTTGGAGTCACGGAGCTTTCAGATGGTCGGACGCTGTTCTCAGATGAGTTATTTATTTCTGTAACTCGCCTGTTATGGAATAAAGGGGCGTGGCCTATTTGACTGGCAAGTGGATGGTGACGCAGGTGTCTGTAGCTGGAGCTCTGGACCATGTTTGTGCTGCTGTGAGGTTACTGTACTAACAGGCCGTCTGAGAAGGCGGGGCCACAGTTTCGCTGAATAAAATCAAGGATTCTGATTGGATGTCACTGTGCAGGTTTCACAGCAGCAACCTTTATTAACAGATTTCAGTTCTCGTCAGTTCGATGCAGATTTGTGTCGTGCTCATGAGCAGCAGCAGGTGTTGTTGTTGTGATGAACAGCTGTTCACCTGTTTCCGTGGTCACGCTCAGAGCTCTTTCAGCTCGTTCCTGGCGGCTTGGCTCCTGTTTTTCTTTGAGGCCGTGTGATAAAACACAGCAGACTGTAACCGAGCAACAGCAGCCACTTCTTCCTCTTGTGATAAAGCCGACGAGCAGATGTGATCGGTGTGATAAAAGTGAGAGGAACAGGCAGCCCGAGGGCGGGCAGACCACTTCACCCTGAGCTGCTCCACAAGCTTCGGCCTGCAGGCTGACGATCCACAACAAACGCTCTGAGACCAGGAAGAGACACGTTCACCAGGGGAGGGTCTGGCTGCGGTCCGGCAAGATGGCTGTCGGGGCAGGCAACTTCTTTTAAGCCGTCGTGCACTCATCCCGGTGGACCTGTTTAGACTCTACTTTTGAACACCAAGTAGCTTGCTGTGTTTGCCTGTGGGTTTTAAGGACTAGATTCACCTCTTAAAACCTTTTGAACGGACCCAATCTGCCATTTAAAGAAGAAGATGACGCGGGAAAAAGCAGAAGCTTCAGCTAAGCCAGCGGTAGCTTCCAAGAGCTCTGCACCCACTGACCACGAATATGCAATGGAGACTTCAACACCGTCAGTAAAAAGAGAAATCCCACCTACGCCCACCAAAGCACCCACACCACCTAGCAAGGGTACTGTGTCCCAAAGTGTGGAAAGCAACAACTCCATAATAGAAGCCATTAACAAGCTAACAAACAAGATCGATGACTTCGGCGTGCAGCTAAGTAACAACATGATAACGGTGGCTAACATCGCCAAGCTGGCTGAAATGAACGCAGCCGATATAAAAGACGGTAAGGCTAAACTGTCTGGTTTGGAACTTGAAAATCCAGGCTGGAAAGAAAAAAATGCCGAAGATACCCGCAAAGAAGTTATCGACATCTTGGCTAAGGTCGCGCCACGTTGGGCTGGGCAACTGGGCAACGCTGTGGACGCCGTCCATCGTCTAGGGAAAAAAGAAGCGGGTAGACATCGACAAATAATAGTTCAGTTCACCATGAGGCGCTACCGAGACGCTTTCTGGAAACTAAGGATTCCCAGGTGTGCAAGGAGCAGGCGTCTACTGCAAGCAAGATTTCTGCAAACGAGACCGGAGACAGGACGGGAGGCAAGAGCTGCAGTTTGGCCCAAAATGGGCCCAAAATGGGCCCAACACTCAGGCTGGATTCATAAAAGGCCGCTCAATCCATAATAATATCCACCTTGTTTTGGACTTGAGTGACTACAACTACCTAATTGAAAACCAAGGTTTTGTTCTATTTTTAGATTTTTACAAAGCCGTCGACATGATAGAGCATGAATTTATGTTCCAAGCCCTTGATTTGTTCGGTTTTGGAGGTAACTTCATTAATGTAATCAAATTACTGTACAGAGATACTAACAGTTCAGTGTGTCTTCCACGTGGCACCTCACAAAGATTTAGGATCTGCAAAGGAATAAAACAAGGATGTCCAATCTCACATTGCTGTTTATGGCAGCAACAGAAATGCTGATTAAAAATGCTGAGTTTGGTAGGACATCTATCCTGGGTACAGAGCTCTCTATCAGCCAGTTAGCCGATGATACAACGAAATAACCTGAATGAATCCCCAAAATTCTGCAGATTATTGAAACTTTCTCAAAAGCTTCTGGATTAAATCTGAGTTTAAACAAATGTGAGATCTGACCCTTAAATGATTGTAGTATTTCTAACACTTTGAATATTCCTGTTAAATCCACTGTCAAATATTTGGGTGTGTATATAACCAAGAATAAGACTGATTTAGATAACCTTAATATTTGGGAGAAAATCCAACTCGTTTAAATAACTGGGCTCAGAGAGACTTATCGATGCTGGGTAGAATTCTTCTCACCAAAATGGGAAGTATCTCCAGGCCAGTACATCCTGCATGTGCGGTAGGAGTGCCTAAATCAGCAAATCTATTAACCAGCTACACTTTGATATCATATATGGAAACGTAAAACCCACTATATCAGGCAAGGTGATTTAGTCAAACGCGTCGAAGATGGAGGTTTGCAAGCTATTGAATGTGACAGCTTAAATGGCTCCCTGAAAATAAATGGGCTTAGGTCATTTTTAAGAAGTCAGACTAGCCGTTGGTTTCACATTCCAAGCAAAATATTCTCAGATCTATGTGGAATTAATCTTTACTTAGATGTGATTTTGACATAAACTCCCCATACAGCTGTCTTCCTCTCACCAGCACGTTGTATTATACTGGAAATGAGTTTACAAACATACAGCCCACACAACACTCCGCTGTGCAACTGTCGCTACATAAACGCTGGAAACTAAAATGCTACGGTAAGGGCATCTGGGCAGTGATGATAGAGGTAAAATTCTATTAGAAGCTTTCACCACCAATTATAATCTGCAAATAAATAACAAAGAATTTCAAATAATTACTAATTACTATCCCTCAAAACATTCTATGGACAGCATATAGTCTTTGTCAAAACCCTGACTGTGACCTCCCTGAACTCTTGGTAAATGGCCTGTATTTATATAGCGCTTTACAGCATAACATTACAGCTAACAGTCTAAAAAAATCAGGGAATTATTTACTAATGTTTTTATCCACATCTGTTCTCCGGTGATGAAAAGAAAGGTCAGAAAAAATGACCTAAAACTTCCGATTCCTCCCAAAGCTCAGGAGGTCCGCTACAAAATCCTCTCTGGTATTTACTCTTCCAAAGAATCTCTCAGACGTCGCTTTGCTATTGATAATAATTCTTGCTCTTTCTGAATCAACAGAACATTATTTTATGGCTGTATATTCTGTAAAGCCTGTGGAACGATGTGCACTACTGGCTCTTCCCACAGATTCCAAACTTACTTGAATTTTCTAAAAATGATTTTATCTTTGGTTCTCTAAGAAAAGAAGCTTGAACATGTTCTAAATGTAATAATTATTATGGGCAAATTCTTCATTCACAAATGTTGTTTTCTGAAAACAAAGAACTCGTCCTCTCAAAAACACAAGCTCTGGACCTGAATCATATGATTATTGAACTAGATCTGCTAGAAAACCCCTGAGGTATCAGGTTTGTCTTTTAATTATCCTTTTTTTGCTTTGATTCTGTTTGGGGTTTGTTTTTATTTTATTTATTTATTTGTTGTTGTTTGTACTTCCTGTTCATTATCTATCTTATATATGTTGGAATTCAGCCTGTTCTGATACCATTTCATGTTGGAAATATGCATAATTGCTGTACATTATATTTCTGTGTGATTAGATTAGATTAGATAGAACTTTATTAATCCCTCGGGTGGGTTCCTCTGGGAAATTCGATTTCCAAAAAAGCACAGCAACGACCGAAGTTACAGTTACAGAATATTATATATATATATATTTACACA